ATATATAGGTGTGCTTTTTTGAAGGGCGTTGAAACGGGAAATTATACCAACGAGTCATGTGGACTATAGAACACTTATTTGTTATCAAAAGAAATTTTCGACCAGTCCTCTGGTCTTCTTCAGTTTATAAAACCATAGAGCAAAGAAACTTTGCTCTATGATAAAACTAAATGACGAAATGTGGCTGATACAAGAGAAATTATACATATAAACAATGGTATTGTGATAGGGCTAGAGTTAAAGGGCCCATTATCTCTAAACTAATTCCTCCATGGTTTATGCATGGACCTATGATTTATGTATCATTCCCTTAATTACTCTAATCCGAGATCAAAGCGGTGATCCATGGGTGTACAGTGATCAGGGTGTAGTAAACAAAACAACAGGTCTTTTATCAGCCACACATTTTGTCCAGAATGTCTCCACAACATCCATGGTCCTGGGTTCAAATCCCGTCAGATTCCAGGATTTTTTCTCACGACAAAACAACTCCACTCCATAATCCTCATTCTACAGTATAATCTTCGTTACGAGACTCATGTGTAAAATAATGTTTTTTCATGGATTGCCACTTATAGCGTTACGTCGCTATGTAATCCTGGCCATCATGTGTCAAGTTGTGGTATAATATAAAGATGAAGAACCATGGTTCTATTTTATTCAAGTTTCAATTACCATCGTTATGATGTTATCAACTGTTTTCTAACAGGCGGAATAACCACAGATACTTTACACTTCTTTTCTTATTAATTAAGTTCAATTATTTTTATTCTCTGTTTCTTCAGTTAACAATGTCGCAGGAAAAACTCGAGTCACTCCAGGGGCTACCAGTTCGCAAGTTAAAGGAAATGTGTCGAAGTTCCAACATGAAGATGTCCGGGACAAAATACCAACTTCTTATGCGACTATGTGGGATGGAGAAACCAAGAATGACAATTAAGGCGGTCAACAAATGGCTGGAGGAGTAAGGGGTCGCCAACATTGAAAATGTTAGCAACTGTCTCAAAGCAGGGATCCAAGAGCGTTACGTTGACATCGAAGGTGAAAATCCACTAGATAATGTCATCGCCGTTGGTGAATGTGCCCTCTGTCTACATGCAATGAAAGCGACCATACGCGATATCCTTTATCAGCTGGACTATTCTGGATTTGACTATCAGAACGGTGGGATAAATGCTCCTTTGAAGTGTCCGAACAAAGAGTGCCAAATAGGCATTTACGTGGCTGATATTTGCTGTGGTGGAAGCCGTATGGATTGTGGCAAAGGACACAATCACTGCATTGTTTGTCCAGGCTTCGGCATGTGTATTGGGGACTTCCGCGAACGGCACTGTAGAGGGTGCAGAAATCATTACTTTGCCGGGTCACTAGAGCAGTTCAAATGCCCCACCTGCTATGGCCCACCGTCTGACGAAGAATGATGGGACACTTTTTCATGGCTTAGTTGCATTTAGAAAATAATATCAAACATTTCATTTTATATAGCGCATTTCAGTTGGTTAGTATTGTAGTTTAATACACAGATTGGTCACGATATGAGTGTTTAGTGCCACGTTTTGGTATCATGCCTTCACTTAATAGTTACATTCGGAAAGTTTATCCAGCATTATATTTTCTTGTTAATATTTAGTTGATTTAATTTCTGAACGTTTGTTTCGTACATTTTTAAAATTGTATAGTTTATAGTGTTCTAATAGTAAACCATATGCATATGCATTTACATGTTACAGTTGCATTCGAAAATTTTCATTAAGTAGATTTTCTTCTGTTGCATTTCAGTCCTTTAGATTTAGGCCTATTTGATTACTGTTTTTTGAAATTATATAGTTTTGTCCTTATATAGGCTAGAAATGAGTGTTGATTGACTGTTGCGGTATAGTATGTTCATATTAGGCCATATTTTGCTACATTTTGCAAAATTGTAGGCCTATTTCTAATGTTTTGTTTAATAAATACTGTATTTTTTGTATGATCGTTTGAGTTAGTTTCTCTTCTTAACTTCCATTTAGTTTAATGGTTTCATCCCGGTAACAAATAGGAGAATCCAATGGGGATCCGACGTCCCCGACGGGGAGGGGGATGTCCCCGTCGAAAAAGAGTAGGCGTGGTTGGGTGTCGCTCAAAGTCTCTCGAAAGTGTTCCGGGGAGAAGCCCCCGAAAAATACGACAATTTAGTGGTTTCAAAGGCTTGTTTAATCGATTTAATCTCTACTAATGTGCAAAAAATACATATACATTTTATTTTCCCCGACGAATTGTGGTTTTCTCCCCAACGGAGGAGAGAAAGAGGGATTTCCCGAGGGCCTTCCCCCCCCCCACCCCTGCTTGTGCCACCCCTGCCAATGAGTCTGGTTTCCATAAAGTCAGTACACGTTATCACGGTATCACGTTATCGTTAGTTAGGTTCACGTTAAAATAATCACCGTACGTGATTATAACAGTGGCGGATTCAAGGGGGCCGAGCCGAACCGCCCCTTCCCCCACCCCTAATTTTTTCAAAATTGTTAAAAATTGGAAAAAAATGAAAATTACATTAAGATTCTGCCATTTCCGGCGACATAATCGAAAATTTTCACCATGGTTGGGACTGAGATGGTAGAACTATAGACTCTCCATCCCGCACTGGGCCCCATCTATTTCAAATTCCTGGATCCTCCATCGTATAATACTTGCATATTTCAGCAACTAATGTAAAGTACTCATATAAAAGACCATTTTCTCACTGGACCCTTTGTTGAATTAGGCCTTTTTGCCCATCTAATCCTGACTACAATATCTAAAGTTATTAAAAATAGAGCCGCTTTTTAATCAGTTGTATCCGTTCAAACCACACAAAATCTAATTTTATTTATTTTTATTTATTTTTTTTTAAATCGAGCACTTGTACCTCGAAATGCACAAAGCATCAAAATCAAATCAAAATGACCAGTAGTTCTTGAGATATACAAATGTGGTCAAAGGTTGAAAGCTGACAGAAACGTCACAGTACTTTTTGGACGAAATGTTTCATTAGAGCAAATAGAAATAATATGTAGGTTGTAAACAACTCAAGATCAAAATCAGGTCTCTACAGTTTGTAGCTGCCAAGATATTAGCCCTTTTTGTTTTTATGTCGGCCATTTTGAAATCAAGATGGCTTCGATCGCAATTTAATTATTCGTTCGTCTGCCGAAGCAATGCGTGCTGGTTTTGGCTCTCAAACTGATCAGCTTAAAGGTAACTTGAACACATAAACAAGAGTACGAGTCATGGCACTTTTTTAAATTTAATTAATCACACTCAACATCAGCTAATTATATTATTTTGAAGGTGTTGATTGCTTTTTGCTACATATTTAGCCTTAATATCCAGTGGCTTATCAATAAATGTCTGGAAAGGGAGTGCTGATAGGGGACGCGAAGGTGCAGTGGGGCTCGATGATCAGTTCTGGGGTGCTAACTCGCAAAATAAAGTGATTTTTAACTACTTACAAGTAATTTTTGAAGGGGCGTGCGGATCCCCTCCCCAACTGTTAACATCATCTTCAATGCATGGGCCCCCAACACTTTCTCGCCCCCGCGCCCCATCGACTTGTTGATACACCACTGCCTCAATTTGGAGCTACGGAATGCCAGTAAGCTTGGAATATTTACTTATATTTTGTTTTAACCTTATTTGCTTTGTCGTTCTGCAGTTCAATGCTAATTGCTTCATCCCATTTTTTCCAGTTCGCTGGTTTCTTTACGCTTCCGTTTCATCAAGGTTTCCAAGGTATAGAGAGAGCGGCAAATACATTATCCATTCAATTTTCTGTTATAAATTTATCAGTATCAAGTTTTCCCAAACAAACCAAATATTGCAGCGTAGCAAAAAAAAAAAAAAAAAAAACAGCGAAAAAAAAAAAAAAAAAAAAAAAAAAGGCGACAAACTGAGATTTTTTGTTTTATAGAGGGCGACAGACTTGAATTTACCAATATCACGTCATATTTAATTTAATAAAGTGTAAATTACGTTTTGAGGTGTCATGCAGCACTTTCAATACAACTTTCCTTTTTTCCCTCTCTTATTTTTTGGAGGGCTCCATCACCCAGACAATACACACACAAAAAAAAAAACAAACAAACAAACAAACACAATTTTGTATCAAACTCAATATTTAATTTGTAAAAAACGCCAAAAAGTTCTGTACTCTTCAAACGCACTGCGTTTAATTAAATCTAGTGCACAGTATATCTTATAAAACGACCATACAGTTATTTTGGTCTGTTAAAAGAACAATAATCTATATATAATAAAAGTGACTGCTAAGATAAACAAGAAAAACACTTGAAAAGGCAACTCAAGTTTGCAAATACATGTGTTAACAATAACATGTAAAAACGTTGTGTACAGTATATAATGTACAGAACAGGGTATGCACTATGCATGGCAGCTAAAAAAAGAAAAATGCGCCATCATAACTGTCATTATCAGAGCCAGGTCCTCGGCAAGGGCATTTGAATTGTCCTCCTGATCCAGCGAAGAAATGTTTACCACAAGAGTTACAGTGCTCCTCACGATAGTCCCCGATGCACTTGCCGAAGCGCGGGCAAACAGTGCAATGGTTGTGTCCTTTGCCAGAGTCGATATTCACTGAACCACAGCACATTCCTGTTACGTACATGCCCACTAGTTCACAATCATCGTTCGGACATTTCACGGTTGCTTCCTCGCCACCTTCCTCATAGTCCATTCCTGCATAATCCTGTTGGTAGAGGAGATCACGGATGGTGACTTTGACATCATGTTCGCAGAGATAGCACATGTCTTCAATGACTATGTTGTCTAGTGGGGTCTCTCCACTGATGTCAATGTAACCCTTCTGGATACCTGCACGAAGACAATTGCTGACAGTGTCAATGTTTTCCACACCTTGTTTCTCAAGCCATTTGTTAACCCCTTTCACCGACAATCTGGTCGTCGTTTTTTCTTTCTCTAATCCACAAAGACGCATCAAAAGTTGGCCTTTTGTTCCCGACACTTTTAAATTAGCATCTCGACACATTTCTTTCAAAGCATTTATTCGTAGTTTCTTAAGAGACTCAAGCTTCTCATGTGACATTGTGGAACATAAATCTATTCTGTGAGTAAAAAAGAAAGAAAAAACGATATTTAGACATACAATACTGAAAAAAACCATTACCCGTAGGAAGGTTTTCGATCGGAAGGATAGGGGGAGGGGAGGCATTTTTGCAAGCAAAGCAAGAGCTTTAGGCTGGGAGCACACAGGGTCCCCAATCTGCAATCACTGGAGCTGATCAATTCCAACAAATTTTTTGTACCACATACTGTATATTTACAATCAACGGTTAGAAGGGCTGAAAATAAAGAGCAATGCATAGCATTTTTGTGATAATTGGGAATAATTTTAGTGAGATAATTGATTTTTAAATGTGGACCTTTTGGAATTTGTATCTGCATCCCCAGCCTGGGATCTTTGGTAGCCTTCATGATCCTAGTTCAACCTCACGCCAACAGCCCTTGCATTCATATCTCGCATTCGTCCCCCTACCCACTTGTAAATACGAACTGCCATACCAAAACAGAGGAAACGGCCCACAGTTGGTGACGGATACAAGCTCTCAGTTAATTAAATCAGTATATAGAACTACATTATTTACGTGACGGGCTTGTTTACCCAAATAAAAAAAATATGCGAGACTGGTAATACATTTTTACACGCTGGAGGACTGATAACCAGTGTACCCACGAATACAGATGCTGAGTAATGACATCAGAGAATGCGGGTCTACTTTCTCCAATACACCGCTCTGTTGGCTTAAGTTAAAACAAAAATATATGAGGCTTAGGGTGACTGTACAATTTCAAAATACTGTATTAATCTTAAGAATACAGTATATCCATCAGCTGCAACATAGTAGGCCTACTCTCAGTCTCATGGCGTTTTAAGTTACTTGCTAAAAAAACACTATAAAAATGCCAGTACAAAATGTTGTAGATTTCTCAATGCATTTTATTGCTTTGTCTTTTTCTTTGTTAAAAGCTGTTGTTGGACAAAGTAAATTGCAGAAACATAAATTTAGGATATTTAGCCGGTAGTATGCCTATTATTTTACACAGCATGTTTGTGATGATGAGTGAGGGCGCACTCCAACCTTAATCTCAAGGAGGTCAATTTGATTTTATACTTCCGTGGCGTTAAAATATACTGTAAGGCCTAGGCTAATGCTTCAAATTCATCACACAATCTGAATTTGGCATACAAACACTAAATTACAGTATGGCATTGGAACCAATTTCATATTTACCGTTGTTGATGTGTTTGTGTTCTTAACATTAGTACAGTACAGTGTATTGTAATACCGTAGCACCTACATTATGCAGAAGGTGGCCTAGGCCTGCCAGTACCCTCTAGGCCTAGGTAGTGAAACACTGCTTTCTAGTCAAAACGGCAATAAACCAAAAATAAATAAATATATAAAAGATTGGGGGAAACGGAAACATAATGTAGAGATTCAAATAAATTAAACTTTAAAATACAGACAAAATGATAATAATGATACAATTTATAACAATAATAATAATAATGATAACAATAATAATACTACAATAAAAATAATGATAAAATAATAAAAATAACAAAATATTAAAAAATTATAAAAATAATAAAACTAATGAAAATATTAAAAATAGGCTTAATAACAATATAACATACAAATTTAATAATAAAAAGCAACACAATATAAAAGCAGTAAACATATGATTTAATGATGATAATATTATTAACAACATTGACAACAATATAACACACAAATTCAATAATAAAAGGATTAATTAAACACAAAAGGATTAATTAAACACAATATAAAAACAGTAAACATTTAGATAAATAAAACGTTAAAATCAGACAAAATGGTGAGGAATCTAAACAAATTTGTCGTGGATGTGTAAAAAAAGGGGGAAAAAACGCGATGACATTGAAACCTCGATTCGACATTCACATGTATGGAATGCCAAAGGCTATGATAAATTATGTCATATTTGTTTGTTGCAGCGTTTTTTCCTAATTTATTCGCAAAATATTTGTAGCCCAATCATAACATAGATTAGGGTTTTCAAAATCGTATAATATCTCTTTACATTCTTTATCATTAATGCAATAGCTATGATGTATGAGGCAGATATTATTCCTAATTATAGAAAATCGCTGTATAATAATAATAATAATAATAATAATAATAATAATAATAATATTTATAATAATAATAATGATAACAATAATAATACTACAATAAAAATAATGATAAAATAATAAAAATAACAAAATATTAAAAAATTATAAAAATAATAAAACTAATGAAAATATTAAAAATAGGCTTAATAACAATATAACATACAAATTTAATACTAAAAAGCAACACAATATAAAAGCAGTAAACATATGATTTAATGATGATAATATTATTAACAACATTAACAACAATATAAATTATAACACACAAATTCAATAATAAAAGGATTAATTAAACACAAAAGGATTAATTAAACACAATATAAAAACAGTAAACATTTAAATAAATAAAACGTTATAATCAGACAAAATGGTGAGGAATCTAAACAAATTTGTCGTGGATGTGTAAAAAAAGGGGAAAAAACGCGATGACATTGAAAGCGGGAAAAAGATCCTGTGGCAATATATTCAATTTGCCTACAGACGATTGGTCTAATTTCGAAATGATTTGGAAAATTATAAGGCCCAATAAAAAAAAATTATTAGTTTATCACCCACGCGCGCACGTCTTCTATGGTACTGGGAAAAAAATTTTTTTTTTGGAAAAAACAAAATTTAAATTTTTTTTTTTTTTTTTTTAATTTAATTTATTTATTTTTTTCATCTATTTTATTAAATAGTTAGTAGATATTCTTTGCATTACCTAAATCATGTTTTACTTTGAATATCAATGCACCAGCAAACAACCCACAAGGGTGATATTTGGCTTTAGCAAAAAAAAATTTAAAAAAAAGCCTCCCTCCCTCATCACTTTTCCTGCCCAGATAGGGGGATAAACTAATAATAATTTTATAGGGCTTATAAACTGCGGCTCACCCATGCCCGGTGGCGCTTGCTCTTGTCATTGCCGTTGGGTCTGTTGCCGTTTTGGTACTTTATCATTGCCGTTCTGGTTATTGCCATTTTGGTTTATTGCCGTATTGACCTGCTAACGAAAACATCTCTATCAGACTATGGAGGCCTAGGCTAGGCGTAGCCAACATAGGCTAAAACTAAACCAAAAAGAAAAAAGGGCTTTCCGAGGCTGTCGTTAAATATTGAATTAAAAAAAAAATACATACTTTAGTACTAGTACTAGTAGCAAGCATAGGTCTAGGCGTTGGCCTAAACCAGCATAGGGGCCTAAACAAACAAAACTTACACACGCAGCACATTTCACTACGTTTGATCGGAGAGGATCGAACATCCGAAAAACAGGACTCTCTCTTCTTATTCTAATTCCTACCTAGAACTGATATTACTATAGACCTTATAGGCCTAAAATAATAAAGGGTATGTGTACTTACCACCGTTTTCTGTTAAAACTATTTTCAACTTGAATAAGCTTCCAAATTTGCGAAATAACTAAAAATTTAACACTGAAGATAGACCACGCACGTGTTCGGTCTTGTTTAGATTTGCCACAATTATTTTTCTTTCTTCATTCTGGACAGTGCCACCAACGATTACATTAATTTCGAGAAAAAACGAGTATGGGACATACACCAATTATATTTAGTATAGAGCGCACTAAGCACAACAATACCGTAAGTGAGACATATAATAAAATATTTCGAACAGTTTGACACCAAAATCAACTCTCTATGACTCGCGGTTACAAAGATCTGAAATGTTCATTCTGATAGGGCTCCATTGTAATGGAAATTAGGGGTATAAAATAGTACAGTAGGCCTATAAATGAATGTTTATGAGCGCCATGGGAAGAACTTTTTCATGAGTTGAAAGATTGACTGTTCGATTAAACGAGGCGCGGAGCCGAGTTGAATGCAACAGTCAATCGTTTAACGAATAAATAAAAATATTCTTTCCATTGCGAGAATAAAAAATATTCATTACTTGTTTTATAACAGTCACACCTAAAATATATTTTTGTCATTTGATATTTTTATTTTAAAAATCTACTTTTTTTTCTGAATGATTCTTGTCAATGATTTTTTCTGAAAAAAAAATCTGCCCTTTTTTTCTAAACGAATGAGATAATCTTCGAGACGGATAAACTCCAAAAATAAAAATAATTTTTATTGAATAATGTATATCATAAGTCAATCGTGACGTCATCTTTGTAACCCAATGTTATATTCATATTCCCAACTGTGTAATATTTGTCATAAGTGCACTGTGTGCTTGAACTTTTTTAGGTCTTGTGCGAAAAAGGCCAATTCAATGGTCATATCTCGCACTGTTATGAATTCTAGGCAAATGTGTTTACATCATAGTTTACATCTAGAACTACGACGCGTGCCCGCAGAAAGAGAGGACAAACACTCGCCCAATCGTCGTTCGTTGGAAAAATGGTAATTGGAAAAATGAAATTCGTAAAACAAGGTATATTACCACCCGAAAAAAGTGACTTTAAATTTAATAACTTGTATGAATAATTAAAGAAATCCTTGAATCAATTGACTCTAATAATCTAAAGAAACTGAAAATTTAATAGGAATATTTAAGGCCTATGATCTATTTCAACGATGCAATTAACGAATTACAGTATGTAGGCAGTAGGCCTAGCTAGACCGATTCGCAACAACCCTAGATGAAATCGTCACACGATTTTTGCCTGTATGCGCCGGACCGCGTCAAAATCTTTGGCAGGCCGGAGTTGGCCCGTGGGTCAGGGGTTCAGCGCCCACACAGTGGCTACCGGATTAGCCGATTGAAGATGTTCTCTTCAGCAGCTCAGAGATATTGTAATGAAAGTGTACAAATGCACACTTAGCTGCTTTGAAATCCATAGCAGAGGTTTTATAAGTAGGGATAATGAGAGAACAGAATCAAGCAATTGCTGAAGGTAAAACCCAGCAATGCCAACAATCAATAAGAAATTAAGTAAAACAGAACTAGTAATAGGCTATGTTCATATTGTACGATTTGGAATGCAAGACATCTAATTGGAAAAATGTGAGGAATCCGTCATATAGGTGAATGTGGTCGTGCTTGAAACAGAAAATAATAATGGTAAAATAACATTGTAAAACAAAATAATTGATCTTGTAAGTAAAGCTGTAAAATTTGTAAAATTGGTCATGGCCATAGATAACGCATGTCATGTGTTTGATTACTTGTTATAGATATTTGAATCGACATTTTGTCTGCGTTGATCTGATTATTCATGTTGCGTTCTGATCTTTGTAAATGTTTTCTTTTGTATATTTTATTTTGAATATCAATAAAAATGAATGAAAATATCATTAAATAAGCCCAATCACGCAGCGTCATGGCCATAGATAACGCATGTCAGTATTAATTGAGAAGGCGTGACTTACGATGACTCCAAAAATAAAAATGTACTTTGTCAGTCTTGCTTGGTAAGCATCTGCTAACAGTTTGTTTTTGTTTACAAGCTTTAAATACAGCATAGACATAGGCCTACAGCGAGAATAAATATTAATTTAATTTAACTTTGGCTTTGATTTTCATTTGCGTTGCCATGTATATCAATATTTGGAAGATAATTGTGATTAGTATTGGAAGTCTAAACGCCGAAGTCTGCTACGCAGGTTAGTATTACTTTTCCTCCAAATGACATTTTTCTCGACAAAAAAATCAGGTCCTCGAGAATTGTTTTATGGTTATACATTTTTGTCAACTGAGGAGTTATTTTATTCAGTCATTTTGAAAGAAAGTATGCCATAAACCTGCCATAAGCAGTACTACATAATGGTGTTACCAATCATGCCCCCTTATATATTTCGTGCAAACTAACATTCATAAAAATAATAATTTATTATATACTGATTACCTTGTGACGTATTCGAACCATGAACAACAAATAGGATAAGTTTAAAACAGTCACTCTAATTTAGTCTCTGCATGTACTGTAAATTCAATCAAGAGGTTTTTGCTTTTCTCCTCTTTTTGAATTTCAGTTTTGTGTAAGTAGTATTGGCGATTACACTATTATGAGTGGAAATACTAACCGTCTAATTTACGGTCAAACAGGACTAGGAAGATAGGTAGCACACAAAACAGTAGTTACCATTTTTATTTCCCAAACAAAAACGTGATTTATAGCTTAATTTATCATTATCACGATGTCACGAGATTAAGTCAACGTAATATTGAAGTTCATAAACTTGTGGCATCACTATACTTAATTTAGTCGAAATAGATAGACCTATCCATGTCAAAGGCTGTATAATTATTGTTTAATAACGGTTATATACAATTCAATTGACTAAATATAATTTTATTTTTTGATTAGAAAAAAAGTCAGTCATCTATGTATGCAGATAAGATTAAGTTTGTAAAAACGTTGGTCTAATAGGTTTAAACGCTTTCAACTTTAACAACGTACAGTACATTGTTTTCACAATGAATTTAGCCTCTGATAACTGTTGCACACATAAAGACAAAAGATATGATGTCCCCCTAATTTGAAAAGCGAGGGTGGGGGACGAGTTCCACCTCTCCTCCACCGATCCACGCACATGCAGGTTAAAATGCTATAGGCTATCCGAACACAGAAAATAGTGGCATGATTCAAAATAATGACCAAATCATTGTTCGTAAATCAAATGTACATTATATCTATTGCGAAAAAGATAAATTGTTCAAAATGTAATTTCGTATCAGTGCCATAACTAAATGAAGTCAGTTGCGTATTCCTCCATGAATAAATGAATTGCAAGTAAAGGAATAAAAGTACATTATAATACAATGAATAACAGCGATATATTAAATTTTACACAACGTACAGGGTATTGTGAAATATTATATATGCAATTGAATAAAACATGAGTTTAGAATATACAGGCTGTAATATACTATGCTTTATAATTGCAAATAACACTCAAATTAATGGATACCGCAGAATTTCGAATAACGTACAATATTAATTTCACTATATACTTGTCAAGTTTGGCCTGAAGAGTTAATTACTGTATAACGCTATAGATGAGTTGTGCTTTATACTGTAACTTGTTTTTTTTTTCATTGTAATAATTAGTTAATGATTTTTTTTTCCATTGTAATAATTAGTTAATGTAAATAGACTTAATTAAATAATTAATTAATTTTAACAAATTGAAATTAATTGTAACTAGACTTATTTATTTGGATTATTATTTTATATTGAATGGTTTTTTTACATTGTAGAAGGATAAATTTCTGTTATTATTATGTCGTGTTAATTGTATTGATATGCAATGTATTGCTATGAGTGAAAATAAAACTAAAAAAAAAAACACTTTCTTTGATGTAGTTAATTTACTTGAGGCCACATCCACCTCAGCCCCAACCATGATTGCATTGAGGACGAAAAGTGAGAGGGACCGACCCCTTCCATTAAACATATGTGTGGGGGGGGGGGGGACGTGTCCCCTGACCTCATGAGCTGCGTCCATGTGTGCATGAGAGTCCAACAATGGTGGGGCTGAGGTACGAACATTTTGAGAATGGACCTCTGGGTGGCCAGAATTTGCACTCACATACCTTAAAAATCTTACCAATAGTTAATGTCAACAATATAATACAACAATTATTTTTCTTAATACAATTTAGAGGGGGTGTGGTTTAATACAATTTAGATGGGAGGGGGTACGATCGCACCGTCTGCACCCCTCCTGCATCTGCCCCCGTTATAGGACCAAAAGTAAAACTAGAGAGCAAAGCGATCCACCGATTAGGTCCAGGGATAGTCAATGGCATGTTTGGAATTGTTTAATCTCGTTATCGTTGCTGTTGCATAGCACAAAAAAGTTTATTCCCTGGGTTCCCACCCCTCTTACAAGCCTGAACCCCCTCGCCTCCAACACACACACACACACACCCACACACTATCTGTAGATTTCCTGTTGATTTATAATCAGGCCGTACTGGGGAGGAACAACTTGATTTCAGTGCTCCACAAAAAGACATCAATTATAGATTGGCACGGGACCAGCTAACTTCGGCTCTGAATATAGGAAGATTGAGACGATCAATAAAGCATACAATGTACACAGTGTTTCTAGGTATAGATTTATATTAAGTATATATGTTAGTATTGTTATTAATAGCTTAGGTTATATTATTTGCTCAAAATTTAAATTAAAATCTTTTATGTAATCATTATTAAGTTATATAGCCTAAATTTAGTGTTTATATAAACTCATGATAATATTCTGCTCATAAACATTATTCATTTCTATCCATTGTACCTTGTGCATTCATAAGGTGATTTACTTAATTGTTTACTTTTTAAATGTATTTCACAATATTCGGCAATTCATGATATAATGTATACTCATAAATATATGTTGTGTCATTGCTTCTATTGCATTTCATATTCATTCGTGTTTCGTGTTATTTTTTTTTCTTGTATGCGTTTTATTTATATGCGTCAGTGACTCCAATGACAGTCACGACCCAGGCCCCATGGAACCTAGTACGCTGCTGTAGAAAACAGTATGAACAATGACTGGATTCTGATTGGGTTACAAAATCGATAAGCAAAAACTTGTCAATCTTCAATAATTTGGTGCCAATAATATACATACATACACACACACACACACACCCACCCCCCCCACACACATATACACATCTAGATGTGTATAAGAGACAGGTACTAAAAGAAGGCAGTTTTTCTTCTTTTTTTTTCAGAATATCTATCATATAAAAAAGCTATTAATGTGGAGGCGGGAGAAAATTTCACAGATAAAATTACAGATGGACTTGATCACACACCATCAGACCAATGTTTTCCTCCAGGCAAGAGTTTTACTTCCTTTATTGCCTTTGTTGTCTGTATTTTTATTGCTATGTGATCGCATTTACTAAACTCCTTGATATAGGCTTGCCTCATTAATTTATCCTATGCTGTCGCTTATAGCATCTAAAACACAAAGGTAGCAATTCATTATTAATTTTATCTGATGCTGTCGTTGATAGCATCTAAAACACAAAGGTAGCAATTCAACAATGTTATTGCCATATCGAAACTTAAGTACACCTATATATTCTTTACGCCTGTAATGTTATTTTTTAAACACGCTAATATAATATACGTACTATTCTTTCAGATAATGGTCAAGGGGTTGACTTTATAAAAGTGAAACTCGAGGCAGAGTACAGCGTGACGTCCGTTACGGCAATAAATCTTGTCGGTGCAGGTAAAGTCATACCCAGTATGGCGCTATCAAAAGGGAACTTACTTACGTCTGAATTTGGCTTAAGTCTGCACGCTTGCGCGGATCGAAGAATCCATCTGTAAGCTAACACGACGAACGCCAGTCCATTGGGTTGACCGACGAGAAGATTTAAATGGTGGATTAACAGGACTTTACCACCCGCGCCCCCACCCCCCTTTCCTACCTAAAATATTTGCCGGTTATTTCAAAAGCCATAATATACGTTCATATCAAGAACACCTTCAAAAAAAAAATTTAAAAAGTGCTTGAATAACGATGATTCCCGATTGATACTGGTACTGCTAATGGGTATACATGGCGCCTTTCATCATGAAAAATAAACCTATTCCACACCCCTCTTCTAATGCTCACTGTTATTTTGTCTGAACAATCTGTCAGAAAAAAAGTACCGGTACATGTTAGTTCCACTCTCCCAATGTCATATTGAAATATCCATTAATAATCTGATGCCATTTTCGTAGTTTGAGGTACCCATCTTTAATGAACTTGCTCACCTCAGCACCAGTTATAGTTTGTGCTGAATTGATACGTACACTCATGCCAACACTACCTCCAAATTTCTCAGAGGTGGAACTTGGACTCCTTTAAGATATGAAGGGTATCTGACATTACCACTTTGTATGAATGTTTGCGTTTAATCTTCGCGGCCTAAGTCCCCAGAGCACTATTCGTTTATCCGCTCCCAATTTCGCAGGGAGAATTGTCAATATTTAAGGGGCATAACCCCAAATTCCCAGACTTTTTTTTTAAATAATCAAAAATCTATATCTTGTTATTCCATTCCTGATAATTTCGTCAAACCTCCTTTATTCAGTGTCTTAGAAAAATCATCTTTTCTACTCCTGAGCCTGACTTTAACTCGGTCTGCCCAGTGGCCGCGAACCAGTTCGCCCGCGATGATGTGTTGGAGAACACATTGTTTTGCAACGCAGTGTGGGCCCTTGAGCTATGTATTCTGAATCGCAGTGATTAAGTTCGCTGTTTGGCACTCTTGGCATTTGTGCCTATAGTTGAATAAAATGTTCTAGGCATGCAGTTAGTGTTGTTTAAAATTAAACCATTTGATTTTATCCTTACGTACAGATGCAAATGAAGCGGTGGGTGCAGAGATACGCATCGGTAATATCTTAAAGAATATGAGTGGAGAAAACATGTGTGGCAACCCAGCATCTCAGAGTGATGTGAGTACTAGTGCTATCCTTGACTTCAATTGCGTACCTGCACTAAAAGGCAAATATGTCATGATCTGGCTTCCGAGTAGAGAAAAAAAGTTACACATCTGTGAAGTACGTGTTTACGGATATCTTGAAGCGGGTTAGTATTGTTTTATGACTACAATGGAAATATGTTTTCGATGAGACCATTTCTGTTTCTAAAAGCATTCAACGCTAGTTATCGACGCACTGCGAATAACAGAGATCAATATCTTTTCGGAGATTCAACCTTGTCGTTAAAATGTATGATGGTGTATCATTGAGCTCTGTTATTCGTAGTGCGTCGAGAACTAGCGTTGTTCCATGTATTTGCGAAAAAGAGCGCAAACTCAGCTGCTTCGGCTTAGATTTTCCAACGAAGCCATTATCAGTCGAAGCTTTGTCACCTGAGGCTGGACCTTATTTGTTTTTTATGGTCTTTTAATTGTCTTATCCTTGGGGTACGTCGTAAATGTCAAGACTGATAACTGATAAATATAGGCGGGTCTTGGTTGTGAATAATATAGTAGTACGTCCAATCGGAAACGTGCTCGTCGGTGACCGGATCTGTCAAGCGCTTAGTTATGTGCAGAAACTGCCATTATAATAATGGGTGTTGCATTATGAAAACAGAGTGCACGGTGTACTGTGTTACGATATTAACTTTATAACTTACTTCCCTCACGGTATATGCTGCATATTAATTATCACATTAAAAAAGCAACATGTACACAGCCTTTGCGCGACAAAACGAAAAACTGGCAGAGTAATCATTATGATCGACGACGACGTACCTGCAGCGTGGTCAGTACGGTACATCATTTCTAAAATAACCGCCGGTAGGCTTAATACAGCTTGAGTGAATAAAAAATCAAAACTATCTTGCTTTATTTGATGACTGTATTGCCTAAATTAATGTGTGTATTTAAATTTATATAATTTATAATCTTTTACCCAAAATATTGTTTTGTGGGCTCTCAAAAAAATAAAATAAAATAAAAAAAATAACGCCTATATCGTTATTTTTTATTATACAGTATACAAATTCAGAGAAAGAACTGTAATTTTTTTTTAAACTTAATAATAACGCCAACTGCTGCCAGTCTTTTAACCTTAAAATTTAAAACGTTTTTAAAGTGTATAATAGCATAATTTAAAGTGTTTTGCATAAAACGTTGCAAACAATTAAACCTTCAATAATAGAACAGAGAGATTTCTTTATAAGGTGTAACAACCATGGAATTCCATGCCATACGAAACTTGAGTACATTAGAATCACTGCATACTGTGTAGAGGATTCGAATTTACCTATTTAGCTGACCATACATATGCATATTGAAATCAAAATTACTTTTAATTTTTATATAGTATGTAATAATATAAATCTATTTTTGTTTGGTACGATAATTTCAGTCTAAAATGTTGTCATTAAAATAAAAAAAGTGGACAGAATATACTGTACACAACTAGAATTGGAAACGAAGTACAGTACAGTATACTTCATTTGGTCGATGAGAAAGAAAAACAATTGATAAAAAGAAACATGAAAAATTAACATTGGTTGATTTTAAGTTTTACTTCCGAAAATAGGAGATACAACTAACAATACAAATACTGTAATTATTGACGAAGCCTACTAGATGAATGGTGGGATAACGTTGAATGACACAAAACTTGCTCACTAAAAGAATTTTCTCCACAAACCAGAGTGTTTATAAAAAGCTGGAGCTCCGGACGGGAATGATAAAACTGGTGTACGGTAAGAATGGCCCCGGAAAAAATGGCCCAGGAAAAAATGGCCCCGGTAAAAATGGCCCCAAATGACAGGTAGGTAAAAATGGCCCCAATAATAAAATTCTGTATTAAAACTGATTTTAAAAAAAAATCATTATATGCATTTTTTTAAACGGAAATAATTTAGTTTTTAACAGGAATCTAACATCAAATAAATTGCCATTTACATTTTACTTTTTGCAGAAATTACATATTCAATGATAAAATATTCAAAGATAAAAAAAAGCCATGAATAACACTTTTTATTTTTTTTCCATTTAAATGTTAAAAAATAGCAACAACATAATCTATAAATACATAAATCATGCATTTATTAATACTAAAATGTGGTGGTTCTGGGGATTCAGCAATACCATTTAATCCTACCATAATTACTTTACCCTCACAATTACACGCCATTTTAATTCTTAGCATAATTGCCATATTTACATAACTAAATTAATTAACCCCGATCGAGCGAAGAAAATCGAGAAAGACCACGTGATCCAACTTACGAAGTATGCTAGGAAGCAAGAAGTAAACAACCTCGTCCGTCATAATGGCATGCAATATGCGTTTATTTCTTGTAAGATATCACAAATAAAGTAAGTCAACCAAATAGTTTTAATGTTTCATTAACACATTTTCCCACGTCGTCACTAACAAAAATAAAATTGACAGTTGATTTGAGAGAAAGGCCATGCTGTATGTACAAGCCACTCTACAAAGTACGGTATGAGGTGGATCAGGGTGTGGATGCAGAGAGCATTCGCATCCTCGCTCGTAGGTACGGTGGTCATGACGTGAGTAAACTAAAAATAATGCAAATGGACCAATTCCGGCGCATGATCTTTTTTTTTGAAAAGATAACAATGATTCAATAATCTATTTAATGATTGAAATAAATATATACTGTATCAAGTTAACTTATACGTTTAATAAAAACAACAATTTTTTTTACGAACGCCAACCCTCCGTAGATCAAACTCCATCGATCGTGCGTTGTTCAGTAACAACTTTTAAACAAGTAGAAATTTCTTTGTTTTTACAAATATATGTTTGCTTAATGCATTTTAACATCACTAAACAAATAAAAACTCGGAGAAGATATGATTTTCGTTCACCGTTGATTTATGCTACATTCTAAGCTTATCTTGACAACAAAAGGGCCTCTGTAAATTAGTGCCGTCGTTACCTTCGGGCACCTCGGCAAATTGAAGAATGCCGACTCTAATTTCGAGGGCTGTAGCAATGTAGATTATTATTCCATTGTATACAAATACAATATTTAGATAATAAGAACGTGTATTCCATTGCGTTTTTTTTTTATATGCAAGAAGAATATATTTTTATTTTGTGTAGCTGATAAATAAATAAAAACAAATTATAGAAAAGTTAGCCCTGACGAAGGACAGTGTTCTGTCCCAAAAAGCTAGGCATTTATCCCACTGGCTGTTTTACTTTTACGTTTAAATTTAAGCTTTTGATTACCAATTTTGTATCTCATTGTTTTTTCAGTATTTTGCCTTTTTGATTATAAATAGAAGTTGTTATAATTTATTTATTTTTTGTATATTTGCAAAGGTAAATAAAAATACCTGCATGAAGAAAAGGCACAGTACTAGCTGTTATGTAGATGAAAGTAAGAAAACTAGTTAGTAGATAGAATCCGATTGCTGAACTTCAATGAATGTAAATAGTTTAAAAATAAACAATATGAAAGAAAATACATAAATACAGTACAAACACTGTATGATGTGCTATCCATTTTTTTATTGTTATTGAAAATAAATTAACTACAAAATAAAAGTTTTTGACTGTTGGAATTTTACTTTAAAATAGTGTTTATACATTCGAAATTCAAACACTGCAACACAATTCAAAACTCAAAATTCAACACTTTTTTTCTTAGGTACGCCGTACGAGGGTGGGGGTACCCCCTCCCAAACCCACTTTCGCTCGTTAAAGGGCCCTCGGATGTTGCTCTGCAACATGTTCCTCCGCCTATTACTAAAACACTGTTATTTCATTTCAAAATGACACCCATTTATATATATATATATATATATACAAATATGTATATATATATATGCATATATATATATAT